TAGGGGTGTCTGGTCCTGGTTCTGGAGGCTCGACGTGTCTGTAGGGGTGTCCGGTACTGGTTCTGGAGGCTCGACGTGTCTGTAGGGGTGTCCGGTCCTGGTTCTGGAGGCTCGACGTGTCTGTAGGGGTGTCCGGTACTGGTTCTGGAGGCACAGTGTGTCTGTAGGGGTGTCTGGTCCTGGTTCTGAAGGCTTGACGTGTCTGTAGGGGTGTCAGGTCCTGGTTCTGGAGGCTCGGTGTGTCTGCTGGGTCTTCAGGTGCTGCTGCTGCTTTAAGGAGACCTAGGAGACTTGCAGACACCCCAGCGCCCCAGGACCATGACCCCGGGTTCAAGGGAATGTAAGACGACAGGGACCGAAACTGTAAAGCTCCCTGTTGCTGGAGAAGCAGCTGGCCAGGTGTTGGCGGGGGATCAGCGAGCGACAGTGACCCGGCAGATTCGGAGCCCATGGCTCCGGTGTGTGTTCTGTGTGACAAGACACAGGCCTGCATGCTGGGCTTTAACTGTGAGCTTGAATCTACTCTCGGGTTAATTACCTAGCGCTTTGAAGATGGAGAGATTAACTGATTGAATTCAGGTTAAAAATTAATGAAAAATGATTTTATTCCTGTCCTCTAATGCTTTGATGCCCACAGTTTCCCCCGATCTATATATTCATATCCAAGTTGCTATACAGCCTATGTACTATATGCATATTCACCAATTTCAAGGCTTGTCTTTCAGCTTTTTTGTTGGTGTGCTCTTATTGACCTGCCTCTTTGGCAGATTAAAGGTAGTCTCTCGGTTTCTTCCACGATCTCTGATTGACTACACGTCAGGCGGGGAAGAGAGAACCACCAAGCTCAACGGCACACAGAGATGTGCCCGTGGCAAAGGCAGAATCGCACTACAGAATCGTCCAAAGACCTCAAACCTGAGCAGTACAGCAGCACCTTTTCTACTTGTGCATAATCGCTTCCAAAAACAGAGCGAAATTGGAGGGCAAGAAACGTCAGAACAGGGTTTGACTGTTGCGTGGAAACGGCAGTGGTTTCCAAGACTGTGAGGAAGGCAATGTTCTGTGCGTCTACTATTATTAGAAACCCTCTACCATCCTTCGGCTTGGTTACATCTTTAATTGATTATATGCTTTTCTGCCAATGAAAACGCTGAAGGTGGTTTAAAACACTGAGCCCTTTCCTGGGATCCGTTTGTGCTCTTTCTCCATGATTTCCCCTGTCCCGTTTGTGTGGGATCGGAGTGGCAAGTGGTGAGCGAGCTGTAGCGCGGGACCACTGGTGGGGGTGGGCGATAGTGACGGCCAAACTCTGGGAGGAAACCGGAGCAGCTGGAGAAAGTGCATGCTGATGCGCGGAGAGCATGCAAACTCCACACAGACTGTGGCCCTGGGAGCCAAGAGCTGTGAGGCAGCAGCGCTGACTAGAACATCGCATTGCCCTGATTCCATGACAAACAAACATAAGATTTTAAAGTATCTGCGTACACCCCTGTCTCACTCTGAAATGGCAGACGGCACTGAAGATTTCAGAATTATTTTGTTCCGGCAGTGATGCTGAAATATGAAGGTCCCATATTTCCTTCATCTTAAAAAATTAAAGCTCATCAGCTGGCTGAATTCAAAAGAAGTAAAAGGAGTTCTTTTTCTTGAACGTCTGCACAGTGTAGTAAGCTAACATTAGCATATTAGTGTCTTATTTGAGTTATGTGTGCTGTTCAGCTAAGATCTTTGCATCAGTTATATTGTTTCATGTCAGAGTACATTGCTCTCTTTGTAGCATAAAATTAACAGTGACCTGGCTGGCTGTCTTGCACTGAATTGCTTTTGAAATGAAAATGGATTTTCGGGCACTTCCTGTTGGCCTGCTTGCAGGACTGACGATGGCCAACCTTGTGTGCCCCAGAAGCCCCCTAATAACACAAACAAATTAGCCAAGTGCTGATTTAAATGCTTATCTGCTTCTGGAAATACGGAGCAGAGACTTCCATTAAATGTGCTGAGGACACTAAAGGTAAAGTGCATGCTGTGAAAATAAGATAAGAATATATTATATATATTTTCCTGATAATATTTCTATTGGCTTGTTTTAGCATCCCTGTTATTATAAATGAAGTATTTATTTATATTGCAATTACTGTTGCCACATTTCCCTTTGGGTCATTTGGCTTTTTAATCTGCAATTTAAAGTTGCCTTGTTATGTACTGAACACAATCTGAAATCTCCAGTCCTCTTCGGGACGCCAGTAGCCACATGGCAAGAACGAGGAAGTGCAGACAACCTCATCCCATTCGCTCTGCCCGGGAGCCTCACCTCTGTTGACTCCCTATATGCGCCACAGCAACGCACAGGAGGGTCAGCGCCCATTGGAGGAGAGGTGTGTCCCTCGCTGACATCACTGCACCCCCAACGCGAGAACGAGGAAGTGCAGACATGCTCACCCCTTGGGCCTCGCCTCTTTTGACCTGCTGCCTCCAGGAGAGTGGAGGCCCTTGCCGACATCGCCGC